AAAAACTTAATGTACAGTGATTACAATGATGTTAATATGCATGTTAGTAATTAATTAAAGTAAGTAAGTAATTAAAAACAAATAATTACTTCCCGAATGCCAATAGTATTACGGATGGAGGCAAGAATAGCTTTTCACTTTAAATGGCAAGTCATATTAATTCATTCAATCGAATATTTAATTTACTAAAAAGTATTATGAACGGTGTATGGGAAACTGTTTTGTCCACCAAATTGTCGATATGTTTACTGAATGGTGGTTTTCTTTTTCAACTAATTATGTTGAAATGCTTCTTGCTACATGGACATATGGTTTAAGCAAAACAATATAAGTATAATCGTCAATATACCAAAAAGTAACTTTATGAGGTTGAATACGTGTTTTCTTTCACACAGAAATGCATTTGCGACTGACTGAATGAGTAGTAAACACACAGAATTTTTTTTTGATGGAGGTATGCTGAAACGGCCTCGTAAATTTTCTGAATTTTTATTTCGTTCATATGACAACATGTTACCGCAGCCAATCGAATCGAGCCAGCAAAATTCCATGCAAAAGTAAACGAGTAGACCAAGACTTGGCCCGATCACGTGAACACACCTGAAATCTATTCCATTCTTCAAAAGACGTTTCATTTTAAAATCGTCTTATAAGTATGCAGGAGTCAACATGCAAGCCCATATGCTCATCCACTGGGTAAACAAAGTCATACTTTTCTCAAATAAATAGGACATTCCGATTGTGATTTAAAGGCCCTCTATAGATGATATAAGTTCTTTATTTCTGTTTTGTTTTTGACGCAGGTGACGCTATTACTGTTCGGTATTCAAATGAAGACTATTGACAGCTGTCTGATGTATTATGCAGCATCACAATAGTCCAATGACTTGTTTTTAAAAGGCAACTTACTGTGTGGCTCACATATTTTTGGTGGGACGGCCAATATGAGGTTCTGTGTAAACAATTGTAATTTTATTGTTCTTTGGTTTGAATATGCGAATTGATTTCTGATCTATATTCGCTGTTATATGGTCAAAATAATTTCACCTCGTTCCAGGCGAGATGTATTATAATGAAAATTATTTCAGGGATTTCAATAAAAGTAGTTACATATGTTAATTCTTTACATGTGGTATATTAAATAATATTGGAATTGATTTTAGGGATCTCTGTTTGTTTATTATGTATATATTTCACGGAGCATACTTTGGATCTACGAGGGTTTTTAGATATCTGATAATTTTCCGATTGCCAAATTTCTTCAACGGCTATTTTAAAGGGTGGTGGCCGTCGTGCCGCGTCCTGTTTGATATGGGACTCATAGCGACGTATACAACGCGTGTAAAATACATTTTTTATTTACATAAAATTCGAACACGCGCTGCGCGACGACCACCACACTTTAAAGTCGGACACATTGCAACAGTGTCACAGTAGCCATACAGTGAAAGAAATAAAAACATGCAAAAAAAGATCGTGTGCCGTACAAATAAATCGATACTTACCTTTAACCCCACAATAATTTATGTAAATGTTTTGTGTATTCCAACTCGCCCCCATGAATTATACTGACGAACTTGCCACTACTAGTAAATCATTATTATGATTTTAATAACATGGTCAAATTGTGACAGCATTTATGACAAAGAAAATATTACATACATAATTCCGTATTTCACGTCCAAATGACAAGAAAATTTGCGAAAATCGAAGATAAAGGTGAAATAAGGCGGAAGGCATTAGAAAATGGAATGTAGACACTATATGTTTTATTTTGTATTCATTTAATACAAGGTGGTCCAACTCCGCTATTGTAACATACAATCATATACAGCATTATTATAAAAATAGTATATACAATAAAATAAGTAATGCAATATATAGTTAAGAGTTACAAAAATGTACCTATAAAAGCATTATATTTCTTTAAGGTAGAGATGCAGTTTACCTGGTAGGTATTTTAATTAGTTATTTAGGAAACCAAGATGACCTCCCTTGTCCACAAAACTATATATTTTCGGAAAGCTTATTGTATGAATTTTAATGTTTTGTTAGTGTTTTTTTATGGACACTGTAGTTTGAAATATGCACAAAAATGTGCTTTTTGGTCAATAGTGATTTAAAAAAAAATAGCTTCTAAACCATGCTTCTGTTTCCTGTCAAAATTGGTTTACGGGTACATCTGTTTACTATGAATAAAGAGCCGTCTTGAAAACTGTCTACCAGTTGTAAGTTTTGCAGGGCAGCAGCTCAAAATTTCACTACTTCAAGTTTATGCATAATTTAACACCCAGACTAATTGTTTGTACGATTGTTGTAACACTTTTCAACCCAAAACAATGCCCCGACGGCGTTTTAAAGATAAACACATTGTCAATCATTTGTGAAAATTTCAAAACAAAAGGTCAAATCGTCTAGGAGCTATTTTTTTTAAAGTTCTAGGATGTGCACTAAAAAGAAGCTGAGATAAATTGCTAATTTGCATAACCATTCACTCAGTAAGAAATGTTCCTAATGCTCATAATTAAAATGGCTGTAACAGTTCTAACTTTAAATGTATTATCGTTTTGTAAAAAGTTAAATATAGTGCATAATATGGAGATCCCGTCATTTCTTTTTTCACCATGTTTCTTTTTTATTATTTATGTACAGCCTTGCTAAATCTTGTAAGCATTCAAAAGAGAGCATGTTTACATTTGTTTATCTATATTTTAAAATCGTCTGATGAGTATGTTCCACTATTCACAATTCAACACATTTTTAACAGTCTATAGCCAAGACTGTTTGAATAATAAAAAGCAAAAAAAACAAAAAAATTACCCCCAAGTGCCCACGAACCTGCAACTCTACCTTAAATTACATTTAAAAAGGGCAAGAATAACTGTGTGCTCTTTTTGTACTGAGCGGTGAAGGCTAATTTATTTGGCGTTTGACCATTGTAAAAAGTGTTTTGTTTTGAACTGTAGAGGCCGCTCTAATTATGATCAGTATTTTTATGACATGCAGTTGACGAAGAACATCTAGCAGTTGGGTAGAATATGTACGAGATGAAAAAAAGGTACATACAGCTGCAGTAGAGTATGTAAAAGTATTCTAATGAATAATATTGTCGGGTTGGAGAATGGAATATCAGTCGTCGAGCTACATTGCGCAACATGTGACGATAAGCTGCGTGCACGACTATTTGTTGGGCAATCGTTGTTGTATGCCGCTCCATCGAATACATAGTGTATGTTTGGCGCCTTCATTTGCGCTTCGTCATCTCGTAATCAGAAAGGAGAGCTGGTCATTGGTTAGTCAAACACCGCACTAATGAATGCGTTGCGCATTGCCATTTCATAAATGCCGTATTTATATTGCAGCATCTTCTACGTATATCTGTCCTTTCTGTGTTGAAGGTACTCCGATGATATGCTTTATTGTTTTGGTTGTTCAGCGTTTTTTTTCTCAATAATCTGGCAGTGATGAGGGGTCATTTAGCGGTTCATAATAAACTCAATGTCCTCAATGGCTGCTGCTAATCTTCATCGCGATGTATTCATTGTTAGTCCAAGAGAGACAATTGTCAAAAACTTGGTATGCCTGAATTTGGCTATTTATGTCTTGTAATTTACACGCGCTTCTATGAGAGGTTTAATTAAGTTGTGTTATCGTGTAGCGTTGTCTATTGTATTTTTGCATGCACTGTATAT